GAATAAAGCAGTTTATTTAAGAAAGGACTTATGTCGCAAAGTTTCGTCGGAACGAATTTACGGAAAATTAACTAATGAACGGAGACGTAACAATATTCATAACCCAGAGTGCCTTAAATTCTACAAGTGGAGTTTTTTTTCCTACAAGCTACCCTTGACAACTGCTGTTCAGATCAGTAGAGGTCCACCAGTATCTTGACAACAGAACAGATGATCATTTGGATCACACAAGACAGTACATTGGTATAGTCTTGTATATCTGTATTCATATGATTAAAATAGGTTTTAGTAATCTGAAAAATCAACATATAGTTTTATCTTAAACCAAGCGCTTTGACGTCAAATGCTACTAACCGCTTACAGCTTGTATGAACATAATTTCTGGCTCTATTTAAAAGCCTAAAAATATTTTCAACATTTCTGAAATAAAATTGAAAACGAAGATTTTTTTTATTGGTATAGAATTCTCAGTAAGTGGCAAAAGATATTTTATTCACTTATTACAAGTTTGGTTCATAGTTTTATTATTGCCACAAAGATTATATTTTGGTGAACTTTTCTTAATTGTAGTGCAGCTGCTCTTTGTGTAGTTAGCTGAAATCCTTATAAACAGTATCTAGAAATTGCGCTAATTATCCATTTAGACAAAGGTTATACTGATTGCTCAGTTAGGCTTATACATGAATATTGTAATATTAACATGAAAAAACTACGCATTATTTACTAAACTATCACCTGAATTTACGTATTTTTCCAATATAAATAATATACTTGTGCTTGTCTGTCCGGAACTTTCTTGCAAATTTCTGGATCAAACGCTACAAATCTCATATCTTAGAAAGGCTATTGTCCGAGGAGTCGGAATCGCATATTGGCTTTTCCATTCAGAACCACCTTACCTGTTTTTTGCTTATTCAATTTTTTTAATGTAACGAATATGCTACACGATGGCACATTGTCGTTGTCATCATGTGACGACTGGCTTCGATTTCGACTTTAGGTTTTTATTTGCAAAGTATTTCACACAAACAACATTTAATCCGCTTGTAATTTCCAAATAACAAATTAACATACACTAATTACAACTGCTATGGCATTTCTCGACCTACTTAGGTCTAACAAAACCATACGTTTTCACTTTGTGAACACGCATTCAGACATTTCTGCATATTCAGCTAAGTTTGCCTTCATTACAACTTTATATTTACTTTACTGTGCAATAGCTTAGCTTCGGTTCGTTTCATAGGCTGCTATAAACACCTTTTAGCTACTTTTTTCTCTACTACGGGTTTTATTCTTCGTTTTTGTGAGTTTCTTTGTTTCAACTCGCAAAACCCTGTAATACACTGAATACTCATAACTGTTTCATTCTCTGTACACTGTTATGAATACCATTACTTTACTTTATTGTTTACTTTAAGTGTAGTTTTATTAAATAAAGTTACGTTTACGTGAGCTTGATTGTCTAACCGCGTAATATTTTTTCAAATAGACCAGGATTTATCGATTTAACATATAATGCCTGCAAGGAAGCGTAGCTTAAATGCCGTGTGTGAAAACAATAGAATAAGGAAAATTCAAGCAAAGGCATGAAACTACTGAGAATGTTTTGTGGGTCAGTCTAGTACATATACTAATATAATTCCTATATGTGCACTAATTTTGTAAGAAAAAGTTTAGTTGTTCTCGCAAAAACGTGTTTTTTCTTGCCTCAATACCTCTATAATACTTTTTTGAAGTACAAATAAATGAACAGGAATAGAAGCTAAGTAGTATATATCATTAAACATTGTCGTAAAGAGCAATCTATATCAAGGTAACGGCTATGAAACAGACCTTTTTCGAGAAGAAGTAAACTTTTTATGAGAGACAAGTGCACATATGTGAACGATGTGACTTAAACAAATGAGACAAAGTTCTGGATAACTTTAAACATCATTTCCACATCAACATGAAGAGAAACAGGTCTTCGTCCCAAGCTCTCAGTGGCTTCATGCAATGATGGATCGGCCAAAATAATAAAGTATTATTACAGGCCATTGGAAATGGTACCACAAACCTTGAATCAAAAGAGCTTGTACCATGCAGCATTAACTCATCTGTTTTTACCTGTCCTCAAGATGTAACTTTTAATCTGCTGTATTGTCATAATAGAAATCCTCAAAAAACGGCTTCTTGTTACATATCCATAAAGAAAGTATTAATACGTCCAATGTGTGCTTTGTCCAAAATGTCCTGAAACGGTCAAGCTGATTTTACTAAAATTTCCAAGCTTCTGGCAATTGCCCAAGTGAGTGGTACAATTCTTTTGCGAGTACACAGTGAGTGTTCCTGTAAAAAGTGCTGAGCATAAATAAGCCCTGAAAGCACTCCAGTTGAAATCAATAGCTCCAGTACAAGTGGCACAGTCAAGCCAAATGGGAAGAATAGTGTTGAAAGCAAATGAAGAACTAGCCAACAGGGTCAACTGTCTCATGGTCCAATTCTACAATGACACCAAGAAACTTACCTTCTGTACACATTCATTTCCAAGTCGAGTAGTTGTAGAAGGGGGTTGCAGATACTTTGCTAATAAATAATGATGGACTAAAGAATATTGGAGTAAAAATCTTTAGTACTTCACTCCAAAAAGTTTTAGAATGTATTGTTGAGTGTGGCAGACGAGAAGGTCAGGGACACTGACACTGTCTTTCCACTGTGGTGGCAGCGTTGATATGACCCAAATATACAAAGTTTATGTAATTTTGAAGGTGGCGAGGAAAGATAGAACTTCCTCAGTGCTGAGGAGCCTCAAGAGTGGGACTCAAAGGGCTTGTGTTTGTTTTATAGTGGGTGTGTTAAATACAGTGAAAAATTAAAACCTTTACCCAGATGTCTTCACTTGTCACAGATGGAATAAGTGCAAACACTATGAAGAGGAGCTTTTCGGGGCCATAATGGAATACATGTAGACAGACCACTCATATGCTTAGCTTGTGCACCTCCTGAAGATTTGGCATTCCGTGCATGGGTCCAGTCTGGCTTCACAGTCAATGAGTGATACATTTATGGGATTATTCATGTTTTCAAACAGCTGATTTGGATTTATTCTTTCTTCCACAAGTCAGAACTCTGCTCATCTCCATCTTATGAAGCTACCAAAGGTTTTTGATGTGGAATGAACTTAATTCATCCCCGATCTCCACAAAACCATTTTGTCTTCCTGGCATGCAATGATTATGTTCTTTCAGAAATCCGAAGAAAAGTTAGCTACTAGATTTATTCACTATTTCACAAGCATTTACTACTTTAAATTGTTGGCATTTATGGTTGCTACACTAAAAGAACGAAATCATTGATTCTCATGTAGATATTTTCACCCAGACATTCTCTGTCGATAAAGAGCGTCTGTCCATCATCAAGCCCTTTGTCACCTTAAAACCAGACACAGATCTCAAAGCTGTGCGTAGAGTTATTGGCTTTTATTTGAATCTGAAGAAGCTTGGGCTGGAGTATTGTGAGCTGGTGGAGATTAACAATGTAAAGACAGACTGCATGAAGCCTCTTCAAGATATGATGCTGAATCTAAGCACAGTAAACACCACTCTTGTTCGCATTTTTGTAGCTAAGCCATGTAGTGCAAACGTAGAGGGCCAGATTAGTTCCAGCAATATCCTCAATACTCCAGACAGGTCGAGTATGCATTTGGGCACCAACTATCTCTACCTCTTTGTCCACTACAACATGCCAACTTTGTACATGCGGGACCCAAGGTCTGCTCTTCTGTTTTAGCTCAAGAAGTGCAGTCACTAAGTCACAGACAGACCAAAGGGAGAACAACAGGGACATTTCCATAGTATCTCTCATGAGACAAGTGTCAAAAGAGCTCATACAAACGTTGGAAACGACACCTCCAAAGACTGTCAGCAAGAGTAAGATGAAGCCCAAGAAAATTTGATTACACAAGTTTAAGTTAATCTATAAATTTAAATTATTTCGTGGACTTTAAAAGGTTAATTCAATTGGTTTCACTCAGAGCTACTTATACCGCCCACCGCGAAAAGTAATTGTTGAGCATTTCAGTCATGCTAAGAGACGCTCAGCAATAACATACGGTA